TACGATATTGATTCACAGGTGCTCACAAGCACCACAAGTAGTGCACAGCTTCCCTCCCAAACAGCACTAAAAATATACAAAGAGGCAAATCCAGCCTGCCACCTTCAAGAGACAAAGAACACTTGTTGAACTAAGAAATGCTGCTGCTGGCACGGTGCAGCACAAGGCTGGTCTTGTATCAGTCGCCAAGCAAACTAAATTTGGAAACCCCTGCTGTGGTGAAACATCCAGGGAAACCAACCACACCACGCAGCTGACATGCAGGGGGAGCTGCAGAGATGTCTCTCAAGCTCTTAACCCACCTTTTTCTTGTCCATTGCTGTTCAGCCCGTTGACAACAGTTTTTGCAACATCGACTTCTTCGTGTTCTGTAAAACAAATGAAGACGCAGAGATTGCTTCTGGGTTAAAAACCTCCACAACTGAATTTTAGCCTCTGGGGATGACACAGGTCAGCACTACTTGATTCATGAACTAGGAAGTATTCTTACTATCTCAGGAGATCACAGAACCATAGAATGGTTTGGGTTGGAAAGAACCTTGAAGATCACCTGGTTCCAACCCCCCTGCCCTGGGCAGGGACACCTCCCACCAGACCAGGTTGCTCAAAGCCCTATCCAACCTGGCCTTGAACCCCTCCAGGGATGGAACTTCCACAGCTTCTCTGGGCAATTCTCTGCTTTCTTGGAGAAACAAATCTCCCTTGGATGACATCCCTGTTTCTCCTTTACCTTTGCCTACCTGGACCTCAGCCTCTTTTAATGAGGGACTGTCTCTGTACATGTATATGGCACATAAGTGAGATTTTCAAGAGAAATTTTCAAGTCTGCAACATCCTCAGCCACAATGAATAGAACTGGCTCCTGTGAATTCAGAGAAGCACAGCAGAAGACAGTGCTAGAAAGGACCTCCAAGGGTCACCTAAAGCTGTATTCCTGACCCAAGGCAGAAACAAATCTACCTCTGTAGGCTGCTGACAAATATTTGCCTAATGAGTTCTTACAAACCCAACATCACCCTAATGCAACCTGTTCCAGTGTTTCACAACCTGGAAGCTCATCAATGCTTCAGCCAAATTCCCCGCTCATGTTTTTCAGACCCCAATTAGTCTCCGAGCTTTCCTCTGGACCCTCTCCAAATGGTTCACGTTTTTCTCAAAATGTGGTGCTAAAAACTGGACATGATACTCCAGCTGAGACTTGATAAGGTGTTAAAATCAATATTATTCCACAGGTCCTACAGATGGCACTTGAGTATGGCGTCTGCTTTGTTTTTCAACTTGGATTTAGTCTGTTACCCAGAAGTTCTCCTCTTCCCAACCGACCCCCATTTCCTGGTCCCTCATTTTCCTTTGAACAGCTGATTTTTCCTATCCAGACGTCAAACTTTGCATTCACCCCCACTGAAACATATAAAATTCTTTTAGATAATTTTTGCAGGTAATCAATAATTCTTAATTCTTGTATTCCAAAGTGAAAGAAGGTTAAGTTTCTAGCCATTTTTTTCAGTGCTAGAAAGGACCTCCAAGGGTCACCTAAAGCCATATTCCTGACCCAAGGCAGAAACAAATCTACCTCTGTAGGCTGCTGACAAATATTTGCCTAATGAGTTCTTACAAACCCAACATCACCCTAATGCAACCTGTTCCAGTGTTTCACAACCTGGAAGCTCATCAATGCTTCAGCCAAATTCCCCGCTCATGTTTTTCAGACCCCAATTCATCTCCGAGCTTTCCTCTGGACCCTCTCCAAATGGTTCACGTTTTTCTCAAAATGTGGTGCTAAAAACTGGACATGATACTCCAGCTGAGACTTGATAAGGTGTTAAAATCAATATTATTCCACAGGTCCTACAGATGGCACTTGAGTATGGCGTCTGCTTTGTTTTTCAACTTGGATTTAGTCTGTTACCCAGAAGTTCTCCTCTTCCCAACCGACCCCCATTTCCTGGTCCCTCATTTTCCTTTGAACAGCTGATTTTTCCTATCCAGACGTCAAACTTTGCATTCACCCCCACTGAAACATATAAAATTCTTTTAGATAATTTTTGCAGGTAATCAATAATTCTGAATTCTTGTATTCCAAAGTGAAAGAAGCTTAAGTTTCTAGTCATTTTTTGAGTATTATGGGCCACGCTGAAACAACAAACGTGGAGCCAGGACACTTTTTACTATGAAGCCATTCTGCTGTTGCCTTAATAGTCAGATTTCCTGAGCTTTCAAGGGCTTTGACTCTTTTCTGGGAGGCAGGAGAAGACTTAAAAAAAAAAAAAAAGAAAAAAAGAAAGAGTAATTGCATCAGAAACAGAGAGGGGTATTTCTAGCAATAAAAAGGAATGCCAATGAGGGCAAGTGGAAAATAACACAGACTTACCAGAGCTCATCGTGGCAGAGGGACTTGTCTTTCTCACTTCTGGATTTTGTTTGTGTCTGTTTAAAGCGAAAGGCAGAATGGTTACATTATGTTTCATGTCTGCCCAGACAGCACTGGACACAACACTGAACATTCACCACAAAAGTCAAGGTAACAGTCACAGTTTCTTCAAAACATTTAGTTTCAAAACCCAAATGGATTTATGTCAACCACCAGTGACATTTTTTGCTGAGAATTATCAGAAATTAAAGAGTATTTCCACTCAATGTACATACTACCAGTGACATTTTTTGCTGAGAATTATCAGAAGTGAAAGAGTATTTCCACTCAATATACGTACTACTTTCAGACTTAAAGACTTATCCTCAACATTAAATCATAAGATACAGATTAAAACCTAAGAGTCTATATATGGCAAAGTGCAAATCTGAGCTTCTCATATATATAACGTGCATCACCCTTAAGAAAAAAAATTTAAAAAAATCTCAGTGAGACTAAGAGCTCTAAGTTAAAACCCTCAACTTAGACAACTGCCAGATTTTGAGGCGATCTGTTGCTCAGAACAAAGTCAGTCCCTCCTTTAAAAGATGTTACAACACAGAAGAGGTACACTTGTTGAAATACATATTAAGTTCTGCACCAATCATTTCCAGTCCTGCGGTGCTACTGGTATTTTCAAGATCGACTCAAGTGACTGAAACTTTAAAATTGAAGCTTTAAACCTCCTGGGATCGAAGGGAGTGAAATTACCAACCCAAGAGAAAAACTGCCAGATGAGGACCAGAGGAAAGAAAAAAACCAACACCGATTTTCATGGCCATGCCAGTCTACAGAGGACAACTGTGGGGCCTATTCGTACCCAGTGCCCACTCCTGTGGGGACCTGGAATCTAGAGCAAATACACAGGTTTCAACATCACACCACGGATGTTGGCTTGAACAGTCAAAGAGCGGCGCTTCTGCAAAACAAGTCCGTGTTTGCCAAGACCTGTGAACTCTCTAAAGGTACAAGGTTGAACTACAAACCCTTTAATTTTGTGTTCCAATCTTTTTCCCCTCCCCTCAAAAGTCAGTGCCATAGAGTAAGATCGAGTGTAACTCCAGCAAATTAATGGCTTCCATGACACAAATAGAAATAGGTACCTGAAGCTGCAAAACCATGCATAAACAAAGACCCTAAGCTATGAAGTGTAGGGAAAAATTACTCAGAGAAACAAGAAATAAAACAATGGAGCTGGAGATACTTGTTTTCTTGTTACATGAGCAGGAGGCAGCAGTGGGACACTGTAAGAGGTGGAAATTGCCTTCAGTTAAAAAAAAAAAAAAATACAAAATAGGGGGGGTGGTAAAAAAAGGCAGAAAACTCCTCAGAGGTGAAGCTCGACAGGATCTGCCAAGATAAACATCTTATAAATCATGGGCCCACCAGAATAACTGGAGTTGTGCTCTTGATTTCTGCAGAGCCAGGATTTTTCTCCTTTAAAACCTCTTGGCTTTCTGCAGGTATTAACTGGAAAACACTAGATGCCTCCCCACATTCTATGTCATCTCTCTCAGGACTGCAAAATCCGGGGTTACAGGAACCACATTTCTAATACTTTACACACCAATAGCGAGCACTGGGCCAGCTTGAGGGAGGAGGCATTGACATCAGGGTGGTGTGTCCACCCCCTCTGGTGGCAGATCTTTCTGGTCCCTGGAAAGCACAAACTTTCCTTTCACCAACCTAGAAAAGGGGTCTCCAGCAAAAGGATGGGGGGAAGAGCTTGACAGAATTTTTTCAAACTTCATTCAATCATTAGTTTTTAATTTGATGGGATTGTTTTAAATGTTTGTTTTTTTAATAAAAGAGGAACCCAAATCAACCTCTGTTCTCCAGGCTCCTCTCTGACCTCTGGAGATCCTGTGAATACAACAGAGCCCAAATCCAAACAGCCTGTGGTTTAGGAAACAACCCTAATTCTGTTCTGCTCTGTAACTGGCTGAATTCATCCATCCACAACGCAGCCGAAACACTAACCACTATAAAAAGGCATCAAAGGAAAGGAAACCAGCAGAAAACCAACCCCTACAACCACATACCTTCTCCCTGCCAAAACACACACCATCACTACACAAAAATGAATATAGCACACTGCAAACCTGCTAATGTTAACATGAAAACTGGTTTGTTTAGATAAGTTTGGCTTTTAAATCATTGTTGCTAATGACAGACGGGTTGTTTGGGGGTTTTTTATTACTTAAATGGTTAGTTCCTGCCCTTTAACCCTGGGCTCAAACCTTCACCTCCCACTGCAAGTTAACAGGACTCACACAAAGGCACCCACAAACCCATGCTGTCTAAACACACTACGATATTGATTCACAGGTGCTCACAAGCACCACAAGTAGTGCACAGCTTCCCTCCCAAACAGCACTAAAAATATACAAAGAGGCAAATCCAGCCTGCCACCTTCAAGAGACAAAGAACACTTGTTGAGCTAAGAAATGCTGCTGCTGGCACGGTGCAGCACAAGGCTGGTCTTGTATCAGTCGCCAAGCAAACTAAATTTGGAAACCCCTGCTGTGGTGAAACGTCCAGGGAAACCAACCACACCACGCAGCTGACATGCAGGGGGAGCTGCAGAGATGTCTCTCAAGCTCTTAACCCACCTTTTTCTTGTCCATTGCTGTTCAGCCCGTTGACAACAGTTTTTGCAACATCGACTTCTTCGTGTTCTGTAAAACAAGTGAAGACGCAGAGATTGCTTCTGGGTTAAAAACCTCCACAACTGAATTTTAGCCTCTGGGGATGACACAGGTCAGCACTACTTGATTCATGAACTAGGAAGTATTCTTACTATCTCAGGAGATCACAGAACCATAGAATGGTTTGGGTTGGAAAGAACCTTGAAGATCACCTGGTTCCAACCCCCCTGCCCTGGGCAGGGACACCTCCCACCAGACCAGGTTGCTCAAAGCCCCATCCAACCTGGCCTTGAGCACCTCCAGGGATGGAACTTCCACAGCTTCTCTGGGCAATTCTCTGCTTTCTTGGAGACACAAATCTCCCTTGGATGACATCCCTGTTTCTCCTTTACCTTTGCCTACCTGGACCTCAGCCTCTTTTAATGAGGGACTGTCTCTGTACATGCATATGGCACATACATGAGATTTTCAAGAGAGATCTTTCAAGTCTGCAACATCCTCAGCCAAAATGAATAAAACTGCCTCCTGTGAATTCAGAGAAGCACAGAAGACAGTGCTAGAAAGGACCTCCAAGGGTCACCTAAAGCCATATTCCTGACCCAAGGCAGAAACAAATCTACCTCTGTAGGCTGCTGACAAATATTTGCCTAATGAGTTCTTACAAACCCAACATCACCCTAATGCAACCTGTTCCAGTGTTTCACAACCTGGAAGCTCATCAATGCTTCAGCCAAATTCCCCGCTCATGTTTTTCAGACCCCAATTCATCTCCGAGCTTTCCTCTGGACCCTCTCCAAATGGTTCACGTTTTTCTCAAAATGTGGTGCTAAAAACTGGACATGATACTCCAGCTGAGACTTGATAAGGTGTTAAAATCAATATTATTCCACAGGTCCTACAGATGGCACTTGAGTATGGCGTCTGCTTTGTTTTTCAACTTGGATTTAGTCTGTTACCCAGAAGTTCTCCTCTTCCCAACCGACCCCCATTTCCTGGTCCCTCATTTTCCTTTGAACAGCTGATTTTTCCTATCCAGACGTCAAACTTTGCATTCACCCCCACTGAAACATATAAAATTCTTTTAGATAATTTTTGCAGGTAATCAATAATTCTGAATTCTTGTATTCCAAAGTGAAAGAAGCTTAAGTTTCTAGTCATTTTTTGAGTATTATGGGCCACGCTGAAACAACAAACGTGGAGCCAGGACACTTTTTACTATGAAGCCATTCTGCTGTTGCCTTAATAGTCAGATTTCCTGAGCTTTCAAGGGCTTTGACTCTTTTCTGGGAGGCAGGAGAAGACTTAAAAAAAAAAAAAAGAAAAAAGAAAAAAAAGAAAGAGTAATTGCATCAGAAACAGAGAGGGGTATTTCTAGCAATAAAAAGGAATGCCAATGAGGGCAAGTGGAAAATAACACAGACTTACCAGAGCTCATCGTGGCAGAGGGACTTGTCTTTCTCACTTCTGGATTTTGTTTGTGTCTGTTTAAAGTGAAAGGCAGAATGGTTACATTATGTTTCATGTCTGCCCAGACAGCACTGGACACAACACTGAACATTCACCACAAAAGTCAAGGTAACAGTCACAGTTTCTTCAAAACATTTAGTTTCAAAACCCAAATGGATTTATGTCAACCACCAGTGACATTTTTTGCTGAGAATTATCAGAAGTGAAAGAGTATTTCCACTCAATATACGTACTACTTTCAGACTTAAAGACTTATCCTCAACATTAAATCATAAGATACAGATTAAAACCTAAGAGTCTATATATGGCAAAGTGCAAATCTGAGCTTCTCATATATATAACGTGCATCACCCTTAAGAAAAAAAATTTAAAAAAATCTCAGTGAGACTAAGAGCTCTAAGTTAAAACCCTCAACTTAGACAACTGCCAGATTTTGAGGCGATCTGTTGCTCAGAACAAAGTCAGTCCCTCCTTTAAAAGATGTTACAACACAGAAGAGGTACACTTGTTGAAATACATATTAAGTTCTGCACCAATCATTTCCAGTCCTGCGGTGCTACTGGTATTTTCAAGATCGACTCAAGTGACTGAAACTTTAAAATTGAAGCTTTAAACCTCCTGGGATCGAAGGGAGTGAAATTACCAACCCAAGAGAAAAACTGCCAGATGAGGACCAGAGGAAAGAAAGAAAACCACCAATTTTCATGGCCATGCCAGTCTACAGAGGACAACTGTGGGGCCTATTCGTACCCAGTGCCCACTCCTGTGGGGACCTGGAATCTAGAGCAAATACACAGGTTTCAACATCACACCACGGATGTTGGCTTGAACAGTCAAAGAGCGGCGCTTCTGCAAAACAAGTCCGTGTTTGCCAATACCTGTGAACTCTCTAAAGGTACAAGGTTGAACTAGAAACCCTTTAATTTTGTGTTCCAATCTTTTTCCCCTCCCCTCAAAAGTCAGTGCCATAGAGTAAGATCGAGTGTAACTCCAGCAAATTAATGGCTTCCATGACACAAATAGAAATAGGTACCTGAAGCTGCAAAACCATGCATAAACAAAGACCCTAAGCTATGAAGTGTAGGGAAAAATTACTCAGAGAAACAAGAAATAAAACAATGGAGCTGGAGATACTTGTTTTCTTGTTACATGAGCAGGAGGCAGCAGTGGGACACTGTAAGAGGTGGAAATTGCCTTCAGGGAATTGAATCTGCTCTCTTGCCTCAAGCATCCCCATTCTTAACTACCATTTGTTTCACACCAGCCAGAATATAATGAGCACGTTCAACAGATACACAAAAAGAAAGAAAATTCAACAAGCAAACGTAGCACCAGATCAGTCTGTAAAACCAGCCAATATGTGGACTCTCCAGCTTGTCACCCTAGCAATTGCTGACACCACTTAATTTTTTAAAATACTTTCTTAATATATTAATATTTCTTAAAATATCCACATAAGATATACATCATGGATTGGTGAAGGCTCAGCAGAATGCAGCCTAATTCCAAGGTGATCCCAGTAAAACACAGTGTGGAGGGCAGAGTCTAAAAACCAGTCAACACCAACAGCTCAGCCCAACTTAAAGGTCTGGTGCCCAACTTTGTCTGCCCATACAGTACCTGCTTTCTGTTCCTACCATTTCATACTAGCAGTAAGTATCCTGAAATAGAAACGGTTGACACAGCCTGAAAATTTAGACAAATGTACACTAATAACAATGGTCTTTCTGATCTCTGTACGTTTTGGATATGGAAAGATGCCTTAGTTCAAGAAAAACAGAAACAAACAGCCTAAAATGACAGGCTACCCATTCAAAGGAGGAGGTTTGTAGCGTATCACACTCTTCTACATATGGAAAACTGTTAACGAGTTAAACTCACTGGATAAACACAAGTCCCTCCATAGGGCAGGGAGAAAGCTACCAGGAGGAGCAGAGTTGCTCCAAGTCTCAACTCAAAGGCTTTAGTATTAAAGTCATTGTGAAGTGGAGGAGGTTGCTGGTACCCACAAGTTTTGACTTGGCACTGGCCCTCTCCACGGGCTTCATGCAAGTCAACAGAAAGCTTCTTCCACTCCAAGCATTCCCAAAAGGACACGTGCTTTCTTCTGGTACACAAGGCAAAAAAGGCAGGGGAAAAAGAATAAGAATCTAGCATTATTGCCTTTACAGGAGAGGAAAGAAGAAACACCAGCTCACATTACTAGGCAAAGGCAAGGTCCACTGCTGCTGCAATCTGTGACCAACACAGGTCCCCTTCTACAATGGTAGTATCCAAGCAATTAAACTTGTGACCCCATGCTTTATACTTTTCAAACCGTTTCATTTCTGTTTAAAAACAGTGACATCATAACTGCCATAAAACTCTGATTTCAGTGATGTCTTTTTGATTCAAGAGTCTTGACACTGCTTGTAATGGGAAGCACTGGCCCTCAATGTATTAAGAAAAGAATTCACATCAAAACCAGCACAATTATTTGGCCTTAAAAGAATCAATTACTTTTCATATTAAGTGATTTGAGGTTAAAAATAAGTTCTAATTAAAGAAGTAAGTTTGCTAAAATTAAATGGAGGTGGTGTATAAAATCATTAGAACTAGATCTAGAAAAATGACTTTTCCGCATATCCCCACACTTAGTAGCAATTATAGAATTCAATTAAAATAACAAGCATCCAGTGATCACTTACTGTGAAACTAATCAGCATTATTCAAGCACTCAAATGAACATACACTTAATGCAGTTTCCCATATTCCAAATGGCTTCAGCATGAATGCCTGGGTCAATAAATGAACATACACTTAATGCAGTTTCCCATACACCAAATGGCTTCAGCATGCCTGGGGTGAGCACAACCAACCCTGAATGCCTGGGTCGGTGTAACTCCAGAAATTCTATTTATTATTTGATTTTGACCACTTCAAACTCTGCACACAGATTTGCTGCACGCAGGTAAAAATAACTGCTGTTTAGACTGAGGAAAGTACGGTGCACGTTTGGAGTTGGCAACATGTTTCTGTGCCTTTTTGCATCAGTTATTCCACCTGTCTCCCATGCACTTAGAATCACAGAATGGGTTGGGTTGGAAGGGACCTTAAAGATCATCCAGTCCCAACCCCCCCTGCCCTGGGCAGGGACACCTCCCACCAGACCAGGTTGCTCCAAGCCCCATCCAACCTGGTCTTGAACCCCTCCAGGGATGCGGCATCCACAGCTTCTCTGAGCAGCTTAATCCTAACCACCTACTCAAGTCCTATTAGGTCCATCTTAGCCCTATGGCTGCTCTTGGCACCAGCAGATCTGGCTCCATGGCCTCAGTAGAGCAAAGCATTGCCTCTGTAACACTTGTGCCATGAGCATTGGGATGGTCCATCCTTAGACAGAGCACTCCCTAGCAGGTTGGCCAGCCAGACTGTCCATGGGAGCAGGTGGATCTGGAAACGTTTGCTGCTCCCAAATCCCCTCAAGGACTTTCTGTAGACATGGCCAAGCCGTTCCTGTAGACACACCTGCAAGCATGCACTGTAGCACTTCTGAAGGAAACCTTTGGAAGGGAAACGAAAATGAGATACCGTGTGTCGCAAGCATGCACTGTAGCACTTCTGAAGGAAGCCCTTGGAAGGGAAAGGAAAATGAGATACCTTGTGTCAAAATTTTAAAAAAAACAAAAACCAAAAACAACAAAAAGAGAAACCGGTACTGCCAGATCAGGCAAAACAAAACAGATTAAAAACAATAAAAAAACCACTCCCAAACCCCGATATTGTCTCCTTCCAGCTCCCTGCTCTAACCAGCTCACCATTGTCTCCCTGCCAGACTGGAATTGGTGCCTTTCCTGAAATGTGACAGAGACAGCAACAAAGGCTTCAAAGCTGCAGACATGCAAAAGACAATGAAAGGCAATGAATTCCTCAGGGCCCAGGCCAGCAGCTGTAACCCTGAACATGCCAACGTCCCTACGTAACATCCACCAGCTCCTTTGGCCATACCTCTGGACGGACATTTAACGCTTCCTTCCTCCCTTTCAGCCCCAGAACATTTCTTCCAAGGCTGCAGCTCCTTCCCTACTTGGTGTGGAAAAGAGAGCAGTGCCTTTGGAAGCCTATTTAGGAGGAATGCAGATAAGTGGCAACTACTTCTGCACAGCGTGTCTCTGGATTATCTCACATGCTCTGAACATTGGAGTGCTCCCCCTGCAACGGCAGAGGGGAACAAACAGCTCATTAATAGTTCTGAGCAAGGACACACGCTCTTAAGTCACCGGTATCTCAGCAAAGAGTCGCAGGCGGCGGTTATTTTTGGTGGTCTAATGTGTGTGTGTGGGGAAAAGTAATTTCCTTTTGTTTCTTCTCTTATTATTGACAGCTCTGACGACTCGCATACTATTTTAAAGCCATTGATAAACATGAGATGGGCATTCAAAACTTAGTGGGAAGGTGCTTTATACGCCTCAGATTGAGACTCCTTTATCTTCTCAGTTCTGAGTTTTTTTACAAAGTTTTCCCTCCATATACAAGAGCTTTAGGTGGTTTGTGCTTGCACTTAAATGAAAAATCAAGATTTTATTTATATCAGAATCATAGAATGGTTAGAGTTGGAAGGAACCTTAAAGAACATCGAGTTCCTACCCCCTGCCCTGGGCAGGGACACCTCCCACCAGACCAGGTTGCTCCAAGCCCCATCCAGCCTGGTCTTGAACCCCCTCCAGGGATGGGGCAGCCACAGCTTCTCTGGGCAACCTGTTCCAGTGTCTCACCACCCTCGCAGGAGAGGATTTCTTCCTGAGATCTAATCTAAATTTCCCCTTTTTCAGTTTAAAGCCATTACCCTTCGTCCATATCAGTACAATCTAGGAGCTGAGGCTTTTAGAAAAATTATAAGCTTTCAAACTTAAGGGATGATCAGCAATCACAAAATTTACCACCTGGTGAGGCCCCACACATCACCGACAGCACTCAAGTGTCTAGCCCAGACCCTTTCTCCCATTGCCACCAGTGTCTCCAACTCAGATGCTGT